TCCAATTCGTTTTTGTGATCGTCAAAAAATTCATGCAAAAAATTTTTTTGTAAGGGAGCATGGTTATCTCGAATATACGCATTTTGCACAGCAACAACCGCCCTCCAAAGAGATGAAGAGAATAAAAACGCTTTGAACTTATGGAACTACCCAATATACTGTTAGGCTGACCAACTACCCAGTTTACCATTAAGCTGAGACTGATACCATGACATGATAGACAAAAGATTCGGCAACGTCTAAGAGTATTTTCCCCCCTCAAGCATGGAGCTTGCTACCGGTTGTGAAGAGTATGACTTCACCATTCTGAAAACGTTTTTTTGTAACATAAAGGGCAACTGTATGTTTTCTATACACCCCACTTCAGTGTCTGGAATGTAAACAGCTTTGAGTACCACATGTTTTTGCACTCATATATTGAGAAGAACTTAGAAGATCAGTTTATGAGTGGATGGCAGGGGAACTTCAATGGTAAGTTTATCATTTCATTTTCATTTCATTTGCATAGCGGATGCCCTATGATAACCAAAACAGGAAACAATGCAAACAAACAAACGAAAACAAGAACGCAACGAAATTGTAAGGTCAGTGGTAGCTAGACAGTCCATGTTAGTAACAACATTTCTACGACTGTAGATGCTCCTTAAAGCGCCTTAAACGAAGACAACTTTGCAGGAAAGAAGCGTTCTCTAATAGCTTATCCATGTCGTTAGTGACACGACTTGTAAAAAAAATATCTGCGCCTTTTTTTCTTTGACCTGGAGATAATCAATTCCTCCTATTAGGGAAAGACACCCCAAAATCTATATAACTATATCATATCTATCTATATCATATCTAAATATATATGTATATCTAAAGCCAATCCTGTGAAGCTGTTCTGAACTCTCTCCATATAGTCAATCGCTTTACGAAGTATGGATAAAATATAACTGTACCCTATTCTGCCGTAGACCTGATAGATGACTTGTGCTTCCAAGAGAAAGTCTTGCCATTGATTGCGAAAGACAAATTGTATACCGACCCTGTGGCTTTATCTATTACCAGCTTGCAGTGATCGTCAGAAGTGATGTCAGTCTTATCATGAAGACCGGATCTCTTATAGAATCAACCACTTGAAGAGAAGATTCCTCAAGAAGTCTTTGGTCCAGTATGTATTACTTTGGTTTTCTCTGTAGAAATAGGAAGAGACCACTCCTGCGGCCATTTGTAAACCTCATTGCGCTCTTTGCAACTAATCACAGTCTATCGCATCCTTCACAACTACATACAATTCAAAATCATCCGCGAAAGCGCTGCAAGAGATTCCCTTGCTCAAAGAAATTGTAAGAAGTCCGTAAGTATAAATATTGAACAACAAGGTTGAGAGCATACACCTTGTGGTACATCGTGCATCTTTCTCGGGATGGAAAAAGTGCCATTAACGCGAACTATAAAAGACCTGTTCTCAAGAAAGGCTTTTATCCGCGCCACCACACGTGGATGTGTATACCTACTATCCTAATTTTTTCAACAATTCAGGCTGTGGTACCTTATCAAAAGCTTTGCTGAAGTCCAAATAAATAACATTGTGTTTTGTCCATTATCGAAGTTTCGGGTTCAATCATTGAGGCATAAGTAAGGGGTAAAAATAGAGTGATTGAGGGGCTTATCCATTTGATGATGTTTACAGTGATTCTTTCCGCGCTTTGTTTTCTGTCAGCGTAGTGAGCGCTATGTTCACGTGAGTAAGACCATTTGGTCAAATTTATATTTAGAGTAACTCTGTATTATGCATTTGAATCGGTACGCAATCTGCCGCACGTATGAAGGGAGGGAATCTTGACCACAGATACACCGGTCAGAAGTACAAGAAATATACTTACCAAATTTCTTTTAGAAACTGCTTTATCGGAAAGGAAGAGTTTTGAACAACTTGTATTGCGGCAAGGAGAGATCAAACTACAAGTGAAGTATAAACTAAGTAGAAGGAATTCAAAGGAAAGTGTGCATGTGAACGGTAGCAATCTTGTAGGAGTAGCGAAACGTCTATGTTTTGACATGCAGAAATAATTTCACAAGGAAGTTCGTTTTTTGAAAAAAAAATGCAGACAAAAACGCCCATACTTTTCGGTCACCCATAATTGAGGTACATATGCTATCGCGATACAGAAGTGAAGCTTCAGAGAAGCAATGATGCCTCCAAACTGCTCGAGCTTTTACAAAGATTCTGCTTAGTCGCCTTTTATTAGGGTGAACGGTAAAAAATGGGACAGCCTGATTTTCATTACATTTTGCACTTTTTTGTTTCTGGCAACAGCAAGTAAGCAGCAACTTAAACGTCGCTCACATGGGCGACCTTCGCTTATTATTCTGACGACGCGTTAACGCTCCTCTTCCACTACCCTACACGTGGCGCCGTGAAGAACTCGAACAGGGTTTTTTGGACAATCCTCAATCTTGCGCTGTTATACCGTAAAGTCGTAAAGCAAATGACAGACCATTCGAAAGAGCTCTTCATGCTCTTTCGAAGGATGCGTTAAATGTATGAGATTTCTTTTCAATTTCAGAAAAAAATCGGAAAAACCTGAAAAATAGCTATTTTTGGCGCAACAAAAAACCAAAAAATCATGTTTTGCCCTATATTTTCCGAAGATAGATAAAATCTGAAGTAAGCTGCATATGGATGGATAGAGCGTAAAAAGCTCTATCAGATGATTCCTAAAAATCAGTCGTTTACCTGCAAAGAATTGAATAACGCGTATCTTTGTTCTCGAAGCTGTTAATGGGCATATCTCCTGACATTGAGAGTTAAAGCCACCAAGCCGTCGTGGGTTTGGTGACTGTCCCACCACTCACTCCAGCAGTGGTACTTTGGGTGGTCTCACATGTTTCACTGCGCCGATACTGCTCAAACTTCATAATTTCTCGAAGTAACTAACTTTGCATTTTAGCAAGTATAAAAATTATCAATTATTTAAATGACCTTATATAGGTGCTGTCTGAAAGAGAATAATTTATTCTAATATTCATCAAATTTGAAAAGTTCAGTCACTTTTCTTCCTTGAGAAATCTGCAATTATTCTCAAGGTGTCCCATTTTTTACCGTTCACCCTAATAGCTAGTTTTGCTTTTTCTTATCGTACTTGTTGCACAATGGCTGAGTATGAGTACGCTTTCTGGCGTTAAATCTTTTTCAATAGAATGGATTTTGCCTACTTCTAACAGTTATTAGTAGGGCATACTTACCTAATGATACCCTGAGCTCACTGTGGATAAGTTGCTCGCTTCGCGGTAAGTGGAGGGAAGACGGTGGAAAATAAGTGGAAAATACTGCCTCAAACATAGAGTGTTACCAAGCAATGGAAGTCAGTAAGAAATGTCATTGTAAAATATCTTTGCGTTCCCTTTCAGTGCCTATATCCGCGTAGCTCGAGACATAACCTGTCGCGGCTCCGCGATGCGAGCAGCTCCTCGAAATAGCGAACCGGGAGCGCTGGTTGCCGCACTGTCAGTCGCGCTACTACTTTCGCGGCTGGACCTCTTTCGCTGGCGCGCTGCCAAGCAGAGGGCTATATATAGCCGCTCCCAAAGCGGTTGTATTCTTCTTCCCTCTATCGATTGTCTTCCTTCGAGTATTGATTATTGATTGAATTCTCACTGTTCTTGGCAGCGTCTCGCAAGCTCCCGCATGAATGTTTTGTGTAAGCGGTTGAGCAAGTAGTTGGATTTGGATCGAAGGATTCGTTTTGGTTTGAGGTTTCTAGCAAGTACCACCGCGGGAGTGAAGAGGGATGCACCTCCGTAAGGACCAGGCGTCGTGCGGCGGACATGAGAGGGACCCTGAATAGGTTTGGTAGAGTTTCCTGGATCACCAGTAACGCGGAGTTTCGCGGCTCGCCTCGCGATGTAAGGGTCTAGTACTTTTAGTTAGTTTTGGTGTTAGGTTTTTATGTAATAGTTCTTTGTGTTATTTAAGACAAACTGAATTATGTACATTTCTCGTGTGATCTCTTGCGTTCTAGTCGCGTTTTGTATCAAGTGTAGTTAGAGACACGGTCGCGCAAGCAAGAGCTCAGCTTGTTCGAGCGTTTGCAACATTCTCGGGTATATGGGATCTTATGTGGCGAGCGGTGAAATATGCTGAGCCCCAAAGAGCCGCAGCATAACTCTAATGATAACGACAGTTTCAATATATGACCAGACTGTATATGACTGCGTCACGATTTCTCGTTCATCATTAAAACCCTTTCAGCTTTGTAGTTATCGCTTGTATCGGAAGCAGTTCAAAATTCACGATGTCAGGTTAAAAAGGCTGAGAATTTGTTACATTTGCTTCAGTCATGGAGGATGTGTTGTTGGCGTATTGAATTTCATCACCGAAAATCCGCACAATAACCAGAATAATTAATACTTATCAAGCGCTGTTTGAGCTCGGAAAAGTTTAACGAGATTTTTTTGTACAAGTTTCAGTGTCGCTGAAAATATGCCACTGGTTTTTATCAACAAAAGAGTGAACATCTATGCGATAACATATCCAGAAGAGGTATTAGCGAATGTCAGTGTTCGCGTAAGCAGAGATAAACGACCATGATTTTTTTTTCAGCAAGCTGCACTCGTGCCCATGTAAGTAGGGCAACAATCCTTTACTCTAATGTTTATATGTATGAATATACAACGAAGACTTGATCACCCAAAAGCCCAGATCTCAATTTACTTGACTTCACTGTGTGGACTAATTTAGAAAAAGGCTAAGCTGCAAGAAAATTACCAGTATGTCTGCTTAATAGAGTTTTATAAGCAGATTCTTAGCAGATTCTTTTTTGTTAAGGCATCGATTTTGAACTCACCAATACTTTTCAGGCACTCTATACTTCATGAATATTGAATTCATATCTACTGTGGACAGTTCAAATTTTATTGAAGTGTGATATAAATTAGTGATAATAAACTATAAGCATGCGTAATGAATTTTAAGTGATTTGAAAGGCAGAATATAGTATTTACAAATCTCATAATTATTAGATTGGAATCTCTGCTTGATCTCCACATTTGACTCGGACACTGGAGATGTAGTTCATGCTGTATTTTGCTCCAGTTGCGAAGTTTGTCACCTAAAACGCATCTTTGAATTTTTTTTAATTTGCTTAATCTCATATTCAACCACGGGTTAAGACAATCCCTCCATTAACCATAAGCATTATCTTCGCCAATAAAGCTGCGAAATATCTAAAACATCGCATAAAAGTTCTAGGTGAGCCATAATTTTGAAATTTTCATCATGATTCAGGCTGTCTCTTAAAGAGAGAATTTTGAAGAGCGGCATATGTGGTCTGCGATGGGGAGAAATGATTCATCTTTTCATGTAGTACTATAAAGGCAAATGATTGTTGCCTGTTTACGAAGTGAACATGAGAATATCGCAAAGCAAGTTAAAAAATCGATATATTGATCCGAAGGTTCAGATTTTTATAGTTCGAAAGCAGTGACCAAAGCAAGTTTGAATGCTTGACTTCTTATATGTAAATTACTGAATTGGAGGCTTTAATCAAGCCTTTGAAGCAGCAGCTTGTATGATTTACTTCTGGCTTAGAAATTCGACTTTACATTCCAGCCCGAACCGTATCCTTTGAGCGGACCTATCAGCGCCCTTGATTGGTCCGCTCGGATTTACTGCGTAATAACATGACATCCACATACCTGATCACATCCAACGCCTAATATGTTGAAGACAATTGCAAATTTGCCTCCCTCGTTTTTTATGGTCTCTTTGACGAAATTTTCATTGTAGACAATTCCGTTGATTTTTGCATAGTCATTAATCTGAAATGGTTAGCTTTACCACAATCCGTGCTCTATGAATTCTTATTTTCTTACCAAAGCTTTTACTGCTTGCAGGTGGGCATCGTTCAAAGTTACGTCGTAGTTCTCCCTAGTGACCACTGTCACCTCTACCTGTTCAGGTTCGGGTTTCGTGGTTACGGTAGTAGTTGGGAAGGTAAAGGGAAAAGAGGTAGAGTAACCGTTAGTGGTCGAAGGGCCAATCGTTGAAAGTGGAGGAGGACAAGCCTAAAGAGTTTTTTTTATCAACCATGAATTTTACAGTTCAATGCATACCTGTGCAGAACTGAGAAGAGTTAGAAGGATGGAGAGAAAGACCATTTTGTACTTTGCGGATGAGATGATTCTTCATGTACACCCTGTCAATTTATACGCTTCACGTCAACGAATGTTTGCAAAACGTAAGCTACACTAATGATATTATATGGGATTCACATAATAGTAGTGTGCTAAGCGAACTTTCTACGACAACTTTTTTCGCTTTATTGCTTCCTAGCCCATGATGTTATGTTTTATGTTTATCTTGTCGAAGCACAATATAGCGTAGCTTATCTTTGCCTACGATCTTCGCAGTCTTACAGAAAAATGAAAATACCGTGTTCTTTAGGTTTGAGAGACCCGTATTTTAAATAAGGTCTGAAAGTAATGGAGATAAGTGAAAGTGGGTGTTAATCATTGAGGCTATGTTAACGACTAGGGTAAGTTTGCAGTGACTCTTTATGATTGTACCCTACGGTAAAAGCGCTCAAACTTCAACGAAATATGTAAATCAACGACAACCTTTGAACATCAGCAGGAGTAAAATGAATGAAGGCACCACATTAATCTTCTATTTAATAATCTCTTCTTTCATGCAATCGGAAGTAGAAGCACAGCCCTGCACCTGCACAGCCTTGCAATTCATGCAGATAATTTTTAAAAATTTTATCAACAGTAAAAGGGGTGTAATTTAGTTAAAGACTTAATTTTGCAAATTTTCTCGCATGTTATGCCGCATCGTGTTTCTGCAAGCTTGCGACGTCTTCACATAATCTTAGTCATAAGCTTTGCTTACTATGCATTCTTGCACTAAGATTGAACTTCGACGTTTGCTTAGCACTGTGTATGGCCCGAAGTCCTATGGTAATCGCTGGTTATGGGAAAGTCCTTTGCCCCGTACGCTATGGGAGTCGACCTGTATAAAAGCTCTGAGGAAGGGCATCGTCATCAACGAAATCTGTTGCAATGGCAATGATTCTTATCGTATTCGCTTTGATCAGCTCTTTGCTGGTAAGTCTTTAAATCAACTCAAATTGAATCAAAGTGCTCTGAGCAGGGATGAACTGGTTACTAAATTTCTTTACAAAACGGAAAATGAAGTTAACTTCAGCAAAAGTTATAGCAGTAACACGAAATCGAATAGTTTCAGGTATAGAAAATTCAAAACACTAACTGAGATTTTGATCTCCTGCCAGATTTGTTGGATTTTTCAGGCTTGCCCTCCCACACCTGTTCCAACCAACCCTACCACAGCATCCGCTTCTTCAACTGCTGCTTCTACCTCGGCCTCATCTGATACGAGTACTTCTTCCTCATCCACTACATCCAGCTCTAGCTCAAGCCCCGTTGGAAAGCGAGAAGTTGCACGAGTGGAAGTGACGGTGGTCACGAACCAGAAATATGATCCACTGTTGAACGATTCACATCTGCAGGTGTTCAGAATGCTGGTAAGTCCATTACGTAAAGTTTTTCAGTTGAAGACTGTCTAATATTGCAGTAGATTCTAATTCCGAGGTATATAGGGGTATAATCCCGGAATGATAAGCAGGGCGACAGTTACCTCTATAAAACCGAAAAAACAACAAGCTAAATTTTAGGCCCATGTGTAAACTCGGTTAACATAAGGAGACAAGCGTTTATAGGTTGTTGGTTACGGAACACTTTGTGTGTGAATCTTATGACGAAAAAATTTCATGGTTTTACCTTTGCGGGTTTCATCTATTTCATGAAATCTTTGCTAAAGTTCAGATGCGAGTCTGCGCTAATTCTTTCCGAATTACTTAGAGACTATAAGGATTCTTTTCCAGCTTAACGACTATCTCAAGGTCAATGGAATCACTTACAACAAAGACCTGGTCCAAGAGGATGTGAAAAACGAAGGAGGCAACTTTGCTGTACATTACACAGTTTTGAGTGGTGACTGCGCTAGGGTAAGCATTCTGATAAGCACCATAAAGACCAACTTCGCCAAAAATCTCATTTTAGATAAAGTACTTGGTCGCCAATGGCGAACGTCATGCTGAATTCATTGAGAATGTGATTGTCAAGTGTTGAGGTGGCCATGGAATTGAATGCATAGTTGCCAAATATTTTATTGAATAAAGCATTTTTTGAAAATAAGTCATACAACACAATAACATTTTTCTGCACAAATATCAAAGCTCTATATCTGCTCCAAACAGTGAGCGCAAAATTTGAGAACTACTCTTGAAAAGCAGCTCCACGGAATTTGCGGTATTCGGCTATGATTTTTCCAAAAGATGTAGCAGACCAGAAGCAGATTCATTTTAAAATCCTTGAATCAAATACTTCAGATGTCGCGCACTGCACGCTTCACCCATCAGTGTACGGTAGGAATGCGATGTATACATGGTCTTTCTCCCATATACCCTTTGATTCACTGGCTTGGAGGCAGGAAGGCGGGGCTTCGTGATCTAGTTAAGGCTAGGTAATGATCAGAGAGCATGCGCGCGGGAGAGACGCAGGCTGGGTAGCGGGCGCGAGCGGCCTTGATTAGCTCACATAGCCCCGCCTTCTAGCCGCCAAGCCAGTTGAATCAGAGGTTATCTACTGTATCTCAAGATGGTTACAGTACGATATGCAGACCAGCTAATCGGCGTTGCAGCGGCGAAATCACAGACGTTCGAGGAACACCTCAAAAGCCGCTAATTTGTGAGAGTTGTTACATTTTACGGCTACAACTGTGTTTTTGTCTTCTAACTGTTTTCCCCAAAAAATTGACAAAAATCATTAATTCAGTCTTGTCAACAAAAAGAGTTACAAACGAACATAATCTAGACAGCTCCGAAATGACTTCGCAATTCTCCTCCCCGCTATTTTCCCCTTCCCCTCTCCCCCTCCATCTGTCCCTTGTCCTCTCCTGCCCAGTCTGTGTCAATTATGGTTACGGTCAAATGTAAGCAGCATAAACATGATGCGTTCACCAGCTTCGCAATGAATGATGATGTAGTCCTAAAGAGACTCCTTCTATTAAAAGTTGATCGCCAACTAAAAAATTTCTCGGACTTATTCGACTTATTTGAGTTACTCGGACTTGTGAAGAATTTGATGTGATTCAATAACCAATCTTAAGCAATACGTGGTACTCATTCTTTTTTACATTAGAAAATGTACAAAATGCTATACGAGTAGATATGCTGAGCAAAGCTACAGCAGTAATCATTCGAAAAAAGTGTGAACTGGCTGATTTTTTTCAATATACAGTGCAAAAACGATGTGCGCAACAAAATGTAATAAATATGAAGGGAATCAACGTAAGCATCGGGACACTGAAGTGAGAGAAAAAAGGAAAGAAGCAGTCTTGATTTAGCTCTAACTTTAAAATTGTACCAGACAGTAAGTTGATTTGCAACGCAGCTGATCTCGACATCAAGTTTATTGGCATCTTTTGTGAAAATTTTTGCTGTGACATCAGCATTTTGTATACCACTCATCTCAGACTCGATAGATGAAACCATCATATACCAAGAAACATTGAAAAGATACAAAAACAGTTCCTGAATCACTTTATTGTCACAGTTCAAACCTGAACATTCATGGCACAAGAGTGTGGCCCGCAGTAAACCCCCATTCATCTCAGGTGACTGAGATGAGTCATTCAGAAGAACTCTCTTGGGTGAACCTAATCCCGCCCACCTTCCCGTGCTTTAGGGTAGTCAGTTCAACAGTCAGAAGACTGTCTGGTCAAGTGTCACAGTCAGTTCACGAATGCCACTTATCCGAAGTTAAATTTTAGGGTGACCCGAGAGAGATAGTGTGCATAAGAGGAGAATCAGACAAATTTCCCGTAAGTTGCTCGTGAGTAACTTACGGGAAAATTCAGTCGACGTATTCTTGCGCTGCAAAACCCCAAAATTGCACGTTTTCGGCGGCCTAAATGGGAGAGAATCGATGAACAGCTGATTGCGGCGAAAAAACGAGAAAACACGATTTTTTGAAATTCTTCTTTTTTCAGAGCTTGATTACGTTTATCCTTCACAAACTGCTTCAAACAATGATTTTTTGACTTTTTTTATTTGCTCTATGTTAAATTTTCGTTTTTCATGAAATCCTCGTCAAAAGGTGGTAGTTTTGTTTTATCCATCACTAGCTAGCAAACCCGGCTCCGCCCGGCCCTGTCAATAATATATTCGTAATCAGCATGCTCACTTACTCCCCTGTGCCAACTCCCAGCCTCGTAGCTCGAACTTTTTTAAAAATCAATAAAATCGATATCGATCGATGACGAAAAGCAGCCTATGACACTCGCCCGGCCCCGAAGTGTATGTGTGCAAAGTTTGATCCGGATCGGTTCAAATAAAAATTTCTATTCGGATATACGTACATACATACAGACATATCGGCTCCTGCAAGATGAAGGCGGTCGATTCAATGCGCAACGCGGCTGCGACATGGCTGCGTCACTGCCGAGTCACAGCCGCGTCACAGCCACGTCGTACCTCGAACCGACCGCCTTCGTCTTGCAGGAGCTTATACATACAAACAGACATTCAGCTTTAGGCCCTGGGCAGAGCTCACGCGACGAAGTCGCGCGATCTCCAGTCGCGACAACTTGCACGAAAGTGGCGACTGGGACGCGACGACTGAGTCGCTCAGTCGCCGGAGGCGTGCATACCTCCGACGCGATTTCATGCAATTGCACAACACTTCACACATGCACGTACTCTAATTCATTACTGAAAATCAGTGCTCTCGTTGTACTAACTGTCATTCAAAAAAGGTGCAGCAGCAGACAAAGGAAGTTTTAAAGTTTAACACATTAGAATTCGACTTGATAACAATCACAACATATGCACCCAAATGATCAACAATAAAAGAAGAAGTCGACATCGTGGTTCTGGTAAATGGATCATAATCAAATGACTGTTGGGAAACATCAATTACGAACAGGGAAGAAGTACCAGCAAGGCCCAGTGGCTGCGGACATTCCGAAAGAACTGTTACGCGGCAAAACGATGTTTTCAGCTCTACAAACGTCCCCATGTGCTGCACATGATGGACGAAAATACTGTTATTACCTCATGCAAAGCTCATATTTCGAAGTTTGCTCCATACCATCGTCAGCGTAGACTGTGAGCACATTCTTTAACTATTCGATGCGCAATGGAACAGGTTAGGGCTCGTAACGGATCTTTTTGACAGCCTAGGATATATGAGATGTAGGAAAATGTAGATGAAAGACATGAAAGGATGCAAAATGAGGACTAACTTCCTTCATCAAACAATGCAAGAATAGGCATTGATTGGCATTTATAACATTTCATGCAAAAACACTCATAATCCGAAGAAAAAACAGCAACTTCACAATAACGCCGAAAATGCAGTTCAGCATCGGCGCGACGGTCGCCTCGTCACTCGCCGCAAACGAGCGACGCGACATCGCGCCAATTCGGCAAAATCGCGACGATATCTCCTGGCGAGCTATGAACGCCGAAAAGTGTGGCGCGATCCGTCGCGCCGCGCAGCCATCACAAACGCGTCGGGACCCACACACTAAACAGATTAAAGATTGTCTGTGGTGGCGCAAAGTTTGGCGCTGTCCGGATTTCCACGGTCTTGCGCTTTGAAACCTATATCGCGGCTTCACAGCGCGAGCTGCAAGATTTTACAGTTTCCCAAGTACTTTTATCTTCCCAATGAATCTGTTACAGAAATGCACGACTTCAAGGGGCAACGACAACATCGAGAAGATGCCGCAAAGCTCAAGCAACATTCGCCATTTGATCCCGACCTTCCATGGTGGGAGGAATGCTACACGTTTTCCAATTTGTTCTATTTTCTGTTGTCTTTACTCAAGCGCCCCTTTTGAGGAAGCTATTTTGAACGCCGATTTTAGCCAAGCTTTTATTACTTATCAGCGCGCCTCTAAAGTTTGCCAAAAAGGCAGAAAGAAAAACTTGGTCAAGCGTTATGATGTGTTTACCGTTTTTATTGCTACGATTGTGTTTATTTTTCAAAACCCAGACGAGGGTTTAATTACCCAAGTTTGAGGTGGTGCTGGGATCATAAACGCTGTGTGTGACTGGTGTTGTTCAACAACGTGATACCACTGAACCGCTAAATGGTGCATCGACTATAACCAACAACAACGAGGATTACAAGGAAAACCACACCGGTACGCCTAAGGAGCCTGATTTGTTTCCCTTTTTTTGACAAGTGCGCAGAGTAATAACAGTTTATTTTAATTTATTTTATTTTATTTTAGTTGCATTTACTAACCTTTACACATCATTGATCATTGTCATCTCCCCTTTGGAAACGATACCAAGGTTTTCGTCATTCCACCTTGGTAACTCTGCGCACAATAGCACCTTTCATTCTTGATTTGAACCAAAATTTTTTCCTGCAACACTACTTTGACCGATAATATGGCGGGTCCAACAACGCTGAAATCACAAAAGGCACTTCTAACGCGCTATTGCAACAATTTAGCTGCCAACGTAGAAAAAAGCAAAGAAATGGTAGAGATAGACGCTTCGTTGCTAACAAATCCCGACGAAAGAGCGCAAATACAACGGCAAGTCTTTGAACTTAACGCAATCTCAAAATTAGTAGATGATTCACTCGCAACCTTCACAGTCACCATTGATTCTCTTATTGATAAACTTAGTGAGGAGCAAGAAAGCCAAGCTCAGGAATATATAGATAAGGCACATGCAAATTTGGACCGAGCGCGTACGATAGCAATTGACCTAGAAGCGAAACTATATAGCGCAGACGATCAGATGCACTTTGCTGCAAACAAAAACTCATTAGAGGGACATATAATGGCAAAACCAAAACTACCAGCTATCCCTATACCAATATTCACAGGAAAAGCGTGGCAATTTGAGAATTTTTGGACACTTTTTGAAGCTAACGTTAATAGCCAACCTTTGACAAAACTACAAAAGTTCAATTATTTAATAAGCGCTCTACGTGGGGAAGCCCGAGAAACAATCCAACGATATCCTATCTCTGAGGAAAACTACGATCATGCATTAGAATTGCTCCAAAACAAATATGGGGATGAATTCAAAATAATTTCAAGTTTG